AGAATTAAGGAAATCCTTAGTAAGATGTATTGAAGATCAAAATGGAAATCATGTTATTCAAAAATGTGTTGAAAAAGGAGATCGTCAAATGGTTATGGATATTGTTAACGCACTTCAAGGAATTGTTTTAGAATGTTGTAAACATCCATATGGATGTAGAGTTGTTCAACGAGTAATAGAAAGTGTTGATTATGATTGTGTAACTGAATTATTACAAGTCATTGAACCACATTCACTTGATTTAACTGAAGATCAATATGGAAATTATGTTGTTCAAAATGTACTTGAACGAGGATATCCAAATGATCGTCATAATATCTTACAACAAATTAAAGGAAATATTGTTCGTTTGTCTATGGGAAAATATTCATCAAATGTTATTGAAAAATGTTTTAAATTTGCTACACCAAATGAACGTCAACAAATTTTAGAAGAAATTTACCAAAATAATGGAATTTTACAAATGATGCAAGACCAATTCGCTAATTATGTTGTTCAAAAAATTATTGAAGCAATTGATAGTTTAGAACGTGAAAAGATAGTAGAATTATTCATCAAACCCAATTTAAGCATTTTAAAGAAAGTTACTTATACCAAACATATCTTAAACTTGTTAGAAACTCTTGATGACACTCATTTATGAAATTTATGTTTTTGCTACTTTGTTTTTTTGTTATTTTATTATTTTTCTATAATATATAGTTTTTTTATAAAAATATATTAATTAAAAAGAAAAAGAATTAAATTAAAGAATATGTTCATTTGTTGGTTCATTTAATGAATGTGATGAAGACTTATATGAACGATATAGAGGCATGAGAATTAGAATAAACAAAATAATTAGACCAATAAAATAACCAATTGGATTAATTGTTTCTGGAAACATAGAATGTAATAACAAAGATAAAAAATTAAAATAAAAATTATAGTTCAATAGTAAATTTACTATATTTAATTAATTTTGTGATGATGTAAAGATAGATCTATAAATCTCATCATCATCTTGGTTATTTACATTAACTTTTGCTTGATCAGCAATTGTATTAGCAATTGGTTGAGTTACTAATGCAATTTTATTTTCTTCCTTTTGAATGGACTTTGTTTTATTTTGTTTTTGATCAAAAAGTTTACAATGAAGTTCCATTTGTTTTTCCATCTCTTCCA